CACAGCACGGCTATAAAATCTATAAAATCTGCTCATTTAATCCAACTCTGTCATTTTACAGAGGAAGAAACTGAGGCCCAGGGAAAGAGGGGAGTTTGTCCAAGGTTCCCAATGAGTTAGTGGTAGAGCTCAGAGGAGGACACAAAACACTTGATGTCTTTGTTTGCGGCAAACAAGTAACGACAATTTATTAGGCACCTACTGTGTGCCGGACATTGTCCAACCAGCCGGTCTGCCTGGCCTCCCCCAAGCTCGAGGACGGTGATCTTAGGACAAAAAGTCCCACTTTGCATATCAGGGAGCCGACATCTGGAACTCATCACTGGGGGAGATGGGACAGACTGGAAATAGAAACATGTTTCAGAAGACTTCGGACAAATGCATGGACAATAGATCCCTAACAGGTCATTTAAGGAAAGTAGGGGTGGATCTCGGGGAGGGGGTGGGGCTTAGAGGTAGGGAATCTGTCTGGGACCTGTAAGAAGAATGTCAGAGGGGACAACTGCACCTTTCTCAGGATCATTGAGAGAGATAGAGAGAAAGACAGAGAGAGAGAGAGTTGAAAGGATCAAGAAATGATCCTGATTGTGGAGATGGGGCAGCCAAGGTGTATTTGGGGAGAAGGGAAGATTCTGTGACTTTAATGGGACCCAAAACTATGCCCTGTGATTCTTGCTTCTCTCTTTGGGCTCATATTACTTACTTGTTCACACCACTCAATTGTTCACACCACTTATCTGTTCACCCTCATTTACCTCTTTGTAGGTGTAGGGCTTCCCGGAGTGTATCCTGGTGGAGTTCTTCCAGGAGCAGGTAAGAACAAGGCTGGGGAGCAGGAGAGATTTGGGGAGAAGGGCAGAGTCTTGGCCACATATCAGGGATGAAAATGGTACCAACTGCTATCTCCTGGACAAGACACCAGGGCCACCATCACCCCCAACCCTACCCCATATCTAGGGTTTCAGGAAATTTTCCCTCCAAGTTTTGGTGAGAAGGCTAATGAAAAAAAAGGTCCTGGGTTTCTTTCCCCATGTCTATCCCTCTTTTCATAGAACCAAAAGATATAGACAGATGATAGATCGATCGGTGAATGATAGCTAGATGATAGATAGATAGATAGATAGAATGACTGGTGGGATGGATGGATGGATGGATGGATGGACGGACGGACGGACGGACGGATGGATGGATGGATGGATGGATGGATGTAAAGACAGATTATTTATTAAGAACTTTCTATGTACTAAGTACTAAGTTCTATATACAGTGCTCAGTGTTAGGAAATACAAGTGCAAGCAAGCAAAGTAATTGCCTGCCCTCAAGGCGCTTACATTCCAACCAGGGAAGACAAAACCTACAGAGGTACTGGAAATAGGGAGGGGCTCTACATTATGGTGTCCAGATGGCTAGAAGTGGAATGGAGACCTGGTTCTGAGTACAACAGGCCAGAAGCTCACTGCCTCTCCCGGCCTGGCATCCCAGGATCAGAGTCCAAGGTTCCAGAGGCCTGGAGTGGGGAGTGGCTGGGGATGGTGACCGGCGAGGAGTCAGCATGGTGTAGAGATGGCTGTCTCTAGAATGTCTGGTCACAGACTGATCTCTGAACTGGGCCAGCTGTGTCACAAATGCAGTTATTTACAAGGAGATTGGGAAGAAGGAATGTGGATGGCTCTGTGCCGATTGTCCCCACTTTAAGAGACTCAGCCGAGAGCTCGTGTTCTGCCCCTGCTGTGTCAGAAGTATATATTCCAGTTTAGAAGAACACATTTTCTGATTGTGGGTGTGTTGGGAATGTAAAGAGGCCTCATCCTCTTTGCACCCTCCCCTAAAAACTCTGTTTCCAGACTAGTTCCCAGAGACAGGGCTCCTCTGGCTCTCACCTTCCTGGTATCGTTTTCTACACAGGGCATCCAGCTAAATGTTAAGGTGGATACACCAAGCTGCAAACCACGATCCCTGCCCCCAAGGAGCTTAACTGGAGGGGATGATAATGATGATAGCTAACACATGGAACTTTTTTCTAAACCCCTTTACAATATTATCTCATTTTATCCTTGCAATAACCCTGGGAGGGAGGCATTATTATTATTATTATCCCCTTTTACAGATGAGGAAACTGAGGCAAACAGAGGTTAAAGTGACTCGCCTCGGGTCACACGGCATCTGAGGTCACATTTAAACTCAGGTCTTCCTGACTCCAGGCCACTGTGCCTAATCTGCAGGCTTGACACCGACTAGTAGACCCCAGAGAAGGGAGAAATCCACTCCTGTAATCAAAGGAAGGCTTCCCTTCCCAAGGAGCGAGGCGTCGGGTGTGCCATGCAGAATGGGCAGGACTGGGCCAGGCCAAGGGGAGGCTGGAGGCCACTTGTCTTCTCAGCTGGGGGAGTGAGGGATGGCTCAGATGGGCATCTGCCTTTTTGCCTTCAGTGAATGTGCCTTCTTTTGGTTTCAGGAGCACGATTCCCTGGAGTAGGGGTCTTGCCAGGTGTGCCGACTGGAGCTGGAGTCAAGCCCAAAGCCCCAGGTATGGTACTAACTGTACAAAATGCCGGGAATCCTGCCCGTGGCCAAACCATTGCCCCCAATGCCCTCATTCCGTAGCTATAACAAACGCTGGGGAAATTTTTGTTTATCTTCACCAAGCAAGGATAAAAATGATGCCTATAGTAGCATTTTAAAAGTGATGCAATCTTAATTTAAGGATCGTGGTATCCCAGTCAAAGCAATGAATCTCTCTAACGGTGGAATTTTAGGCTTCAGACAGAAGCTGGGGGAGAAATATGAGGGGTCTTGGTGGGAGAGTGACGGGAAGATGGCACACTTGTTTAGTTGAATTTTCTACCATTTGAGTCATCCCCCATCCCAGAGGACTTTTAAATCCTTTCCCACTAAGGACTCAGGAGCAAACGCTCACCCACATTTCAGCCCTTAAAAGAATGATCTCTTTATAGCTTCTCAAAGGGCCTCACAGACATGGTTTGTGGCTCCAGTTTTACACGTGAGGAAAGTGTGAGCAGTAGAGGTAAAATGACTTGCAGCCGGTAACGGTGGCAGAGGCATTCTGCCCTCCACCGGGGTGCCTCTTTTTAAGGGTGAGACGCCATGTTTTGTCTATGATTGTGGCTCTCCCGGCCAAACCCTTGAAAAGGAAATTTCATAGGGGCAGCTAGGTGGCACAGTGGATAGAGCACTGGCCCTGAAGTCAGGAGTACCTGAGTTCAAATCATACCTCAGACCAAACACTTGACGCACTTACTAGCTGTGTGACCCTGGGCAAGTCACTTAACCCCAATTGCCTAAAAAAAAAAAAAAAGAAAGAAAGAAAGAAAAGGAAATTTCATAGTGTCCCACATGGGGTATTAGTCAACATTGACAGAACATGTTTGTGTGACCCCAAACATCCCAAAAGAAAACTGAAAATACCTGGATATTTTAAATAATCTGAGGTACCCAAGATCTCATAGGTGGAAAATGGTAAAGGCAGGATTTGAACCCACTGCTCCAGATTGAAGCTGTGTATACACAGCACCAAATGTCAACAGTCCAGACAAGAAATACTCTTTCTTCTCCGGTCCCTAAGCCAAGTCCCTTCCCCCTTCCTGGGCCTCAGTTTCCTCCTTTGTAATATGAGGGTGTTGGACCAGATGGCCTCTTTGCCCTTCCAGCTCTGATATCCCAGGATGCTAGGGATGTTCTCATGGGCAGGTAGCCACTGGTTTCTCTTTCCTTGCAGGTGGAGGTGGAGCTTTTGCAGGAATTCCAGGTGAGAGAGCTGCTCCTGCCCCTGTCCTCTTCCTGGGACTTTTCCAAGCCAGGGGTTCAGGCAAGGCGAGGTGTGGAGCTCCCACCTCCTCCTGGCTAAAGGGAAAAACCTCTTTGGGGCCTAGGCCCTAGACAGCAGGGCAGAGCTTTCTGTGAGCTCTTAGGGAAAGGATATGAGAACCCCCACACCTATTAGTCAACGGTCATTGACCAAGGGCCTGCCACATAGCCCCCTGATGGGCACTTTGGTGGGAGCAAGACAGGCACTCCTGCCCCAGAAGAATTTCTGGTCTCAGTAAGGAGCCAGGATTCTCACCCATGAAAACGAAAATAAGCAATCAGAGGCAGTCAGTGCCAAGGACCAAAAAGAAGGTAAAATATGAAGTAATGCTGGAGGACAGAAGAGGGGGAGAGGTCAATGGGGGCTTCGGGAGTAAAAGAGGGCTTCCTGAAGCAGATGGACTTGAGCCGGGCCTCAGAGCAGAGATCTGATGTGGAGAGGGGGCTGAGGAGGGAAAGGGCATACCAGAGGCAGGGCACTGCAGAGGCAAAGATTCCGAGATAGGAGTAAGTCTGACATCTGGAGATGCTAAGGAAACCACTGTGGTGGCATGAGTGTACTTCTGGATATAACAAATGGAGAGCTAGTTTGGGGCCTTTGTTGAACAGGGTCGGGGAGGGGGTGGGGGTGCCAGCCAAGAGTGAGGATTTCATTCTTCTTTCTTCTTGTTTACAGGTGTTGGACCTTTCGGAGGTCAGCAGCCAGGAGTCCCCCTAGGCTACCCTATCAAAGCACCCAAGCTCCCAGGTAAGCCACCAACTAACTGGGGGCTTGGGGCACTGATGGTGAGGATAAGACCGTATCTAAACATTTAAAACACTTTGAGGTTTACGATGCACTTTGCTCACAGTGACTCCATGAAGCCTCAAAGCAACACTGAGGTAGGTCCTAGAGGGTTTCTCTGCATACCCACTTTACAGATGAGCCTCAGAGAGTTAAAGGGAATCGTCCATAGTCACACAACGGGTATCAGTAGAAGGTTTGCACCCAGGTGGTCCTGAGTCCGAATCTGCCAGAGACAAGACTTGAAAACAGGACTCCTGTGTGAGGCCATGTCCACAGGAGGCCTCGAGCTTGAGAGAGGTAGCAGAGGTGACCTAGTGTACCACCAAATAAGTATCTGCTGACCATGAAAGGTAGGATTTATGGCATTAGGAATGTAGATATTTGTCACTTCTTGGCCTTTTGGCTGAGATCAAGAGTAGTAAGAATATAGACATTTATGAGAAGTCAGGTTAAAAGGGGGCCCCTGTTGGGGCCTCCGAATGCTGGGCCCTAGCGGGCTGGGCCATTTTGCCTACCCCCCGTTGTAATTCTGGGTATGCTGCTACAATCCACATCCCCATGCACCTCCTCCCCTTCTGGAAGCCCTGACTCTCTCCCGATCTGATAGCGTCACTTTTATGAACCTTATCCTATTCTCTGAGATGTTTCGAGCAGCCCACTCTATCAGAAGACAACGTGGGAGATGGGGACCTGATAGACAGGGCTAGATCCCAATGGAATTCAAAGTTTCCTCAAAGAGGAAATGCAGGCTTAGCCCCTGGGTGAGAGGACCCTTGGGGAAAGGCAGGGCATGCCTAAACTGGGTGAATGGTCATAGCTCCTTCCCCGACTGCCCGTCCCAGGCAGAATCCAGACCTGGAGAGGGCACTGCTAATGTTCAATTCGACAGACACTGATTAAGACCCTGTGCTGGACTTTGGGGCTAAAAGACAAGAACAAAACAAGCAAACGCAAACACAAACACAGTCCCTGCCCTCAGGGAGCTTATAATCTGCTAGGTGGATCTGAACACAGTTAAGAGATGGGGGACAAAGGGCAGACCCAGGAAAAAGTGCTCTAGAAAAAATTGAGGAGGAAAAGAGAGCAAACGGCCAAGTGGATCAGGGAAGGCTTCCCAGAAGTGAGGGCACCTGAACAGAGGAGCTTTGGAAAAAGATAAGGGTGCTGAAAGATGATGCCGAAGGAGCAAAAGCAGGCCTGGATGGCTTGTGCAGAGGGGGGAAAGGAGAGGTTCTGAGTTCGGGATCACAGCCCCTTCCTTTTACAGATGGGGAAACTGAGGCCCAGAGAGGTAAAGCAACTTACAGGATTCTAGCTCTAGAGCTGGAAGGTACCTGAGCAGCCATCTAGTCTAACCCCTCATTTTACAGATGGGGAAACTGAGTGATTCTGAAGTATTTCAGCTATGTTACAGTAAGAATCATGGTACCCTGACTTAGAGAATAATCTCGGGCATTGAAGAGTTAGGTGACTTGCCCAGGGTCACACAGCCAGTTGGTGTGAGGGGCTGGATTTGAACCCAGGTTCTCTGACTCCAAAATCAGTGGCAAAACTGTGAAGTTTGCAAGTGCCCTCTCCAGTGCTCCCAGCCTTCAGAGCCCTGACTTCATCTTGGGAGAGCAGATTGCTGGAGTCAGCACTGTTGTGCTCTCTCTCTCTCTCTCCCCTGAGCTGGGGAAAGGCTCCCATCTCTGGGAGGCTGGGGGTCAGTCCCTGGGTTCCCTCTGCCAGGGCTGTCCACACCCAGAGCCTGAGCCCTCAGTGGGGAATGAAGGGCGCTAGCCGCCGTCCAAGGAATCTCTCTCGTAGTGCCATCAGATTCACAGCTAAGAAGAAGCTAAGAGAGCTCAACATATCCCTGGATCTGGACTCCAGGGACCTGAGTGTGAATCCCAGCTCTTCCACTAGCTACCTAACTCCTGACTAGTTAACTTGTCTACCAACTAACAAGGTCACTAGCTGTGACCTTGGATCAGTCACTTCACTCCTTTCAGGCTGTTTTCTCGGATGTAAAATGAGGGGCTTGGAACACATCATCCTTAGGGTCCCTTCTTGGCTTATTTTTGGGTTTTTTTAGGCAATTGGGGTTAAGTGACTTGCCCAGGGTCACACAGCTAGTAAGTGTCAAGTGGTTGGTCTGAGGCTGGATTTGAACTCAGGTCCTCCTGACTTGAGGGCCAGTGCTCTATCCACTGTGCCACCCAGCTGCCCCTCCTTCTTATTCTAAATCTGGGATCCTACAAGCCTCGTTTTATACAAGAGAGGTGAAGGAATGACTGGCCTAAGGTCACACAGGTTAGAAGAAGCCAAGCTGGTCCTATGGTTCTAAAGACGGTGTTCTTTCCATGGTGACTCAGGAGATACACATCCCTCAGAAAATGGGGGGGCTGCTGGGGGCCGAGGTTCCTTCTGGTCATCCCTTGGAGCGTGCTCTGTGGGTGGCCCACCTCCTGTGCTCAGGGCCCACTCCTGGGATGGAGCATGGAGGAATCTCCTGACTAGACCTTGTCTTCCCCTCAGGTGGTTATGGACTGCCCTATAGCACTGGAAAGCTGCCTTATGGTGAGCGCACTGGGGCTTCCCTTTGTTTCCTGGTCACTACCATAGGTCTTAAAGGTCCACCAACACCCAGGGTTAGTCTGGTGTGGCCAGAGGCTAAATGTGCTTGGGAGGGGGGCCAGGGCACTCACTCCTGCTCTGGAAGTGATACCCAATGCAATCAGCACCTCATCTGCAACTTAGAGGTGAAGGTCTCGGTCTCAGGCGACTTCCCTAGGGTCATGCAGCTAGCATGTGTCAGGGTCCACACTCCAACCCACGTCTTCTTGACCCTCAAGGCCGGTTCTATCCACTAGAATACATCTCTGCTGAATGGGTTGGTAGCAAAGTCATTACTCACAGACTTTTCATTCATTCATTGGCTCAACCAAGAATTGGTTTAAGTACCTATTATGGCATTTGTGAAGTTGGTAACAAGGGAAAAATAATTTTTAAAAATTAAATAAGCCTACTTTGTCGCCAGGGACGACGCTGGGAGCTCAAAGACAAAACCAAGGAATTTATATTCCCTTATTGGGGGTGCGGATTAGGGGGTCCACAGACAGGTAAATCAAAGGCTGACGCTGCTCTCTTACTTCCTGCCCTCAAAGGTTACGGCCCAGGTGGCATCGGCGGAGTTGGGGCAGCCGCGGGGAAAGCCGGATACCCCACTGGAACAGGTATGGCCTCATTTTCTAGTTCATCTACAGCAGGTGGGAGAGGGCATGGGAGGCATCATCTCAGTGCTACACATGGATCCTAGCCAGACTTAACTCCATCAACCACCCTTCTAGACAAGGCCACTGGGATTCCTCTATGGGCCTCTTAGCCAGTGGGGCCAAGGTTACAGGCAGGATCTCCAAAGGAGTCGGTCCCCTTCCAACACAGGGCCCTTTCAGCCGGAGTCCCACTTCTCACCTCTCCATGTTGACTCCCAAATGCCTTTAGTCACGTAGAGTAGGGGTGAGAATGAGGATGGTTCAATGCAGCCCTTACCCATGGCCAGAGAAGCTTCTCAGAGCCCCCTCCCCATGAGTCTGGGACCAGTCTGAATCTGAAGGTTCAGGGCCCTGCCCCATTCTCTCTACTCTGTTTGAAGTTGTTTGTGGGAGGGGTCTCATGGGGAGGTGATCGATGGACTGAGGAGGAGGGGGCCGTCCCTCACCCCACAATGGCCTAATCTCCTTATTTCCAAATCCAGGTGTTGGTACTGCAGCAGCTGCAGCCGCAAAAGCAGCTAAGTACGGTAAGTGAGCCTTTCAATGCCCTGTCTAACTGGACCCCCTCCGCTCTTTTGTTCTCTTAATGAGAGGACCTCCACCTCCCTCCTTCATCCAGTCACCCACCCCAGCACCAGGGGCACCCCAATCACTCCCTGTCACCTCCAGGTTTTCTTTAAGCTGAGCTTCCTCCATCCAGGATTCTCTGACCCCCAGCCCTTTCAAAGCCCTAACCAGTGCTCCTCCCCATTGCCATGCAGAGTACGTGGTGGTCGCAGAACTGGGCCAAGAGACCTGCATTCAAATCTAACGTCAAACAGTTGTTAACTAGGCGACTCCAGGCAATCCTTTCTGAGTCTCACCTGTAAAAAGGGTATAAGAATAGCACTTAATTCAGAGTTGTAATGAAGAAAATATTTTGCAAACCTCAAATAACTTGAAAAATAAGGCTTATTTTTTTCCTTTCATTATGATGTAGGCTTGCTAGACTAGCTGCACCTACCTTGTGTACCCCAACTAAAGCACCAAATTAGAGGTCTAGAGCTGGCAGGAACCTCGGGACCCCCCTACTCCAACCACCCAATTTTACAGAGGGGGAAACAGAGTCCAAGAGAGTTTCAATGACTTCCCAAGGTCATCTAGCTAGTTATCTGTGGTCTAGGATTAGAATCTGGTCCCCCTAACTCCTGGTCTGGTTTTCTTCCCCCTATAACCCAGTGCCTCCTTTCTCTAAATAATCTTTGGGGCAAGAGTTCAGACAGCATTTGGTACTCTTATAATGTCATGGAGGCAGCTAGGTGGCACCACAGTGCATATAGCACTAGGCAAGTCATGGCACCCTGTGTGCCTCAGTTTCCTCATCTGTAAATTGGGCTGGAGAAGGAACTAGCAAACTGCTCCAGTATCTTTGCCAAGAAAACCCCAAATGAGATCACAAAGAGTCGGACGTGACTGAGAAAAATGACTAAACAAATGTCAGAGTTGGGAGGGACCTCAGAGACCTTCTCTCTCCCTTTCTGCCTCTGCCTCATAAACCCTCTAGCTCCCTTCAAGGTTCAGCTTTTGTTGGGATGCTTCTCCCCCTCCTCTAAATAATTTTGGGTTTTTCTCTGTGTATGTGTGGTTCCCCCCCTCCCCAGTAGAATGTGAGATTTATGAGGGCAGGGAAAGCTTCAGGGTTTTTTTGTCTTTGCATTCCCACGGTCTGACACAGTGCCTAGTGGGGGCTTTATACATTATGCTTTTCGAATTAAGTTGAAGAATTCCTTCTCTAACATACCTGGCAAACAGTCCTTCGTTACTGAGTATGTAGGGAAGGTCCTCTATAGGAGAGCTTACGCCATCATAAAGTTCTTAATAATACAGGCCAAATTTTATTTCTTCCTTCCCAGAGGAGAGGAGGAAGCGTCAAAGATGAATTCAAATCAATGAGCATGTATTAAGCACCTACAGGCAATGTGCTGGGTACTGAGGAACATTTTGGGGTACAAAAATAAAATGTCTATCACTGACCACAAAGAAGTTACCTTCTTCTGAGTCTGTCCCACTCTTCCCCACTCCTTTTGACCCCCTCCGTACTCACTAGCATTCTCGCAAACCTCATATGGTCCTTACAGTTGGAGGGGAGGGAAGTATTAACATGTGAGCAGGAGACTTGCTCTATTCAATTTTCATAGACTCCAAACCCCAGCCTCGAGGGTCCCCAGCCTCCTTTCCTTGGCTTGTCCTCTTAGCCATCAGTCCTGATGGGGAGAGGGGGCTGGGGATGAGCAGAATTCTCCAGGAAAAGGGGGGTGGGGGGTAAGGGCAGACACAGTGGGGAGGGCAGCCAAATCCAAAGGACCGGTTATATTACAAAGTTGGACAGCTCTTAGGAACACTGTGAAAAGAACATTCCAACATTCCTGCTGAGGCCCCTCTGGCCAGGGGACTGGGCTGCCTGCGGTTTTTCAGTATGTGGCTGTGATTAAAGTGCGATTTGTTTTAAAACACACAAGTTCCTTAATGAGTGTGCTGAAAATGGGTGCTTTGGGGGTTTTGGTGTGTTTTTTTTAATGTTTTCTCTGAGGAGCAGCCGGGGGGTTGCATCTTGCTGTTGGGGGCTGCCCCTTTAATGCCTTTCGTAGAGCTGAAATGGATAAAGTGGCCAGCTCTTTGGGGATTCTTCCCAGCCCCTGGCCTGGCCCCACCCCATCCCATCCCTTGCTCCTCCTCGGATGCTGAAGCAGCGGAGGGCTGTCTGTCTCTGCAGGTGCTGGCGCAGGAGGGCCTGGGGCACTTCCAGGCTTTGGGCCTGGAGTTGGAGTTCCTGGAATTGGAGGCATTGCAGGTAAAGTGTTTCTGGGCAACGGTGTGGGGGAAGGGTGGCAAGGGAACAGAGCAAAGGGAGGAGTGGGTCCAGGGCTTATTCCCAATGAGCAGCAATCAGGATTTCGAGATTGAGGGTGGGCGATGGCCTGTGTGAGAGGCTGCTGGGGAACGCTGGCTTCTAGCCAGAGGGCCTGGGGAGCCTTGGGCAGGTCTTAACCTCCACCCCCAGCCTCATTTTCCTGCTCTGTAATGAGAAGATTGAACTAGATGGCATCAGGGGTCCCTTTCAGCTCCAGATCTCTGCTGAAGGTGCTGAAGATTCAGAAACAAAAATGAAGCCATCCCTGCCCTCAAGAAGCTCGCATTCTATGAGGGGAAGCAACATGTACATAACACACAAAATGCATGCAAGTTAAATTCAAGCTAATTTTGGGAAGGAGGCCACTTGTAACTGAAGTGACCAAGAAAGTCATTAATGAATCAGTATTAATTAATGGGCTCCTGTGGACCAGGCACCGTGTTAGGTGCTGGAGATGCAGAGACAAAGATAAAACTGTCCCTGCCTCCAGCAAGCTTACATTCCATGGGAGTGGTCTCGTGTACGTATGGAAATATATGCAAAATAGATTCAAATGAAGCTAATTTCAGGGGTTGGTGCTGGAAGTGGGGGCATGGGTCAGGAAAGGTGTCATGCAGAGGGTGATCCTTGAGCTGGGTGTTGGGATCCCAAAAGGCTCAGGTGACAAAAGAGGGCATTCCAGGCATGGAGGAGATGGGGCAGCCAGTGCCCAGGTAAAGAAAAGGGGGAGTGGAGTGTGTGAGGGACATCAAGAAGGTTAATTTGGCTGGACCATAGAATGACTGGAGGGGAAGAAAGAAGGCTTCACTGTCCAATGTGCACCAGTCATCACCCTAAAATCTACCCTCATACAGAGTATTAAAATATGTATTTTTTTAAAAAGCAATATTAAAACTGTAACTTCCAATCAATTCAACAAATATGTGTGAGGTGCCCAATACAGTGTTTTTCAATACTTTTGCTGCAGCCCAATTATCTACAAGTTATTCCACAAATTGTATGGCGCTTACACCCGAAATCACATGTCAGCTTAAATGTTTGGTATGCCTCGATTCTTTAGAGCAAAGAAAGAATAACTGTACCTCAAGAATGAATGAATGAATGAATGAATGAATAAGTAAACAAGCACTTGAGATCCACTAGTGGCCTCCTGTTTGTGGTGCACTGTGCCAGGTGCTGGCTAAATACTAGTCCCTGACCTCAGGAGGCTCAGTAATGTCCTCATGTGCACTACCCCCTTTGTGGCTGCCTGCCTTCCCTACACCTAGTTCTGGCCTTGGGAGTAGAAGAGGAGGGGCCAGTTTTTCTGAGAAGGCAGGCAGGACCCTTGGAGACCCTTTCTCCTTATGTCTCCCCAGGAGCCGGTGCCCCAGCCGCAGCAGCAGCAGCAGCAGCTGCAGCCGCAGCAAAAGCAGCCAAGTACGGTGAGTGTTCTCAGCCTCAGATGGAGGGTCCCTCCATCCTATCTGTCTCAGCCTCTGCTTGGGTTCCTGAAGCCAGATCCCAGCTGGGAGGCTTGTTTCACCCATAAACCGTTCTGTGATCTAAAGTGATTCAGAGCTTTCCCTATGCCTGTACTTCACCCCAGGTGTGTTTTTGTTTCCTGTTACATTCATATGAGAGCCAGGGGCAGATGGAGAGCTGGCCTGAGAGGCAGGACACTTGGGTTGGAATCTTGCTGCTGGGTGACCCTGGCCCTGGTGACCTTCAGCCTCTCAGTTCTCTCAGGGAGGAGAGGTCTCCTCTTCCAGGGAAGATTTGTGTTTTGGCAATAGGAAGTCCATGCTATTAAACCCTTTCCAGGGATCCCAGATCCTCAGAGGTCTCTATTGTGCCTCTCACCCTGGATTATGAGTGCCCATCCCCTTTGCCATCATCTGGAGGCCTGTACTAAAATCCACGGCGATGGACTGGGCGTCATGCAGAGTTTTACAGTCATTGGGTCCCAGCCATAAGGAATGAATTCTGCTGGCCCCCAGCTTCCAGATTGTCAGGGAGCTTGTCCTGAGAGCAAACCAATCTGCTTCTTTGTCCTTCCACTCAGTGGTATTGGTCATCCTCTCCGCTCTGGAGCCAAGCAAAACAGGCCTGATCTCTCCTGGACAGGATAGGTCTTCAGACAGGAAGGCAGGTGACATGTCCCCTCCTCCACCCCCAGTCTTCTCTAAGCTAAATACTCCCAATTCCTCACGTGGCTTGAACCGAGACTGTTCCAAGAAGGGGTAACCACTCTTTGATTCCTGCCTTACTCCTGGGCACTTGAGTGCTAAGAGACCCTCCTCAGCATCTTCTGGGGGGAAAAGACAATTCTCCACTCTCTCTGCAGGAGCAGCTGGAGGCGTAGTGCCAGGTGTTGGTGGAATCCCAGGCATTGGAAGCGTTGCAGGTGTTCCAGGTGTTGGCGGTGTCCCAGGTGTCGGCGTCCCAGGTGTTGGCGTCCCAGGTGTCGGTGTCCCAGGTGTCGGCGTCCCAGGTGTCGGCATCCCAGGTGTTGGCGTCCCAGGTGTCGGTGTCCCAGGTGTTGGCGGCGTCCCAGGTGAGAGCTATGGTTCCTGTATCCAGATCAGCATGTGACTCTGAGTCTGTCTGTATAGCTGAGATTGGAGTAGAGGAAGAAGGCAGGGAGGGTGGTCTCCTGAGTTTGAGGTGGTGCGGTATAGTGGACCTGGAACCAGGAGGACTTGGGTTTGAATCCCTCCTCTGACACCAACGAGCAGCATGACCACGGCACCTCTCTGAATAAGAAGACCTGAGGTGCCTACCTCACAAGATTGCTGAGTAGCTGAAATCAGATCACGTATGAAAAAGTCCTCACGAACCATAAAAACTGACATAAAGTCAGTGGTTATGCATAGGCTCACAGATAGGAGGCAGCCCTGTACAGCGGACTGATTCCTGGACCTTGGGTCGGAAGACCTGAGTTCAAATCCCATTTCTAACACTTAATCCTGTGTGACTTTGGCCAAGTCACTTAACCTCCCTGCCCTTCAGTTTCCTCACCTGTGAAATGGGAATATTAGACTAGATGACCTCTAAGACCCCTTCCAACCGTAGATCTATGCTCCTGTGATTCGGACATAGACAACAATCTAAGCCCACTATGGACAGGTAAGGAAACTGAGGTCTTTGTGGTCATGGTTATCATCTTCTTCTGAGCCCTTCTCCCTCCCTATCTCCTTCCTCAGGAGCAGAAAGCCCAGCTGCAGCAGCTAAAGCAGCCAAGTATGGTAAGCATCCTCCAGGTTACCCCTGCCCCTGCCCCATCCTGGATTCTAAAGGGCTTGGGGGAAGCTTGAAGTCTCTTTCCTTATTGGTCACTTGCACCCATGCTATCATCCTTCTGCAGGGGCCGGGGTTGGCGCTGGCGTTGGAGTTCCTGGCTTTGGTGTGGGGGCTGGCGTTGGAGTTCCTGGCTTTGGGGTTGGCACGGGAGCCGTTCCTGGTGTGGGAGTCGGTCCCGGAGGTATCCCCGGGGCAGCTCTCTCCCGTGAGTGCAGGTTCAGTCACCAGAAGTGGGTGGGAGATAGCATCTTGGCTTTTCTATCCCTGGGTCTCTGTGGAGGGTGTGGATTGGGTTCCTGGCTTTTGGGCTGTCCCAGGTACTGAAAGTCTCTGGCTATAGCTATAGCATCACATGTTAAAAGTCCCTAAGTCTCTCTCTCTTCTCTGTCCCCTACAGCTGCTGCTGCCGCCGCTGCCGCCAAAGCAGCTAAATATGGTGAGTGCCCTTAAGTGCGCTTGAGACCCTGCCCCCAGACCAGGCCAGTGACCCACCATAAGAATCAGGTATTTTAGGACCCTAGGAGCCTGCAGGTGGACCCCAAAGACAGCTATGTCTACTCCACCAGTCTGGCCATGGAGTGAATACCAGCTCTGGAGCTAGATGACCTGGTTTCATATCCCAGCTCTGCCACTGCCTACATGTATGACCCTGGGCAAGTCCCTTCCCTTTCTTTGGGTTAAAGCTTCCTCTTCTGCAAAATGAGGTGGTTGAACCAGAGATCCTCTGAGGTCAGTCAGCAAGTATTTTTATGAAGTATTCAGGAAGTATTTTGTTAAGTGCTTCCTATATGGCAGGCACTGGTCACAGTTCCTTCTGACTCCAGACCTGTGAGGCCATGATCCAGTTCATTGCCTGCCCAGCCTTTGGCTAGTGTCAGAAGGGCTTAGGAGAAGCATTCCTAAGCTGCCCACATAGGCTCCTCACCCCAGAAGGGCTGCTCTTCCCTGCCCCACCCCTATTCATTTCCTTCCTCCTTCCTGATGATGTGGCTCCCCCTCCTCCTACCCTGTGCCCCAGAGATCGCCAGGGTTCCAGGGCTGAGATTGAGCCTGCCACTGGCAGTCAGGAAGTGTTTGACAGGCAGGAAGACTTCTGGAGAGACATTAAAAGGACCGGCCTCAGCACTAGGGCACAGATCGAACATAGAGCTGATGTCATAAGTCCCTGGAAATAAGCTGAGGTTAGCTAGAGGGAGGGCAGGTTGTATCTGGTAAGGAGTCTGGTCATAGCTGAAGCAACACAGTGTTCGCTTATTATTACTTTCAAGTACTATATGTAAAAAAAACAACAACTCCCTTATGTCCCACTTCACTAGGGTAAGAGGACAGAAAGGGACACATCATAGAGATGTTGGGAAGGCAAAATTACCAAGATCTCAGGAACTGATCAGATATGGCAAGTGAGAGAGACTCCAGCATTGAAGATAGCTCTAAGGTTACAAACCGAGGTGACTGGAAGAATTTCAACAGAAATAGGGAAGTTAGGAGGAGGGGAGGGTTTAAAAAAAGTTTAATAATAAAACTTTGGTTTTGGACCAAAATTGTTGGCCACAGGATATTCAGTTTGTTGTTGTTGTTGTTGTTTGCTAGGCAATGAGGTTAAGTGACTTGCCCAGGGTCACACAGCTAATAAGTGTTACATGTCCAAGGCCAAATTTGAACTCAGATCCTCCTGACTCCAGGGCTGGTGCTCTATCCACTGCACCACCTAGCTGCCCCCAAGATATTCAGATTTTTTTAATAAAGAAAGTTTAATAATAAAACTTTGATTTTGGACCAAAGTTGTTGACTATGCAATGTTCAAGTGGAAATGCCCCGCAATCAGACATTCAGGACCAGACCCCAGGAGAGAGGCAAGGACCACATAGATTTGCATAGGAATGATGCACGAATCCATGAGATTACCAAGCTACAGAGCATATAGAAAGAAGACAGCCCAGAACAGATGGACAGACTGAGGCTAGGAAAGATGATGTAAGTTTCCTAGGGTTTTGAGAACTGGAAAGGACCTTAAAGATCACTTGATCATCCACCCCAGTCCCATTTTACAGGTGAGGAAACTTAGGTCTGGGCAGGAGAAGACTGACCAAAATCCTTTAAGTAACAAGCATCAGAGTCAGGAGTTTCCTGACATCCAGTCCAGTGTCCAATCCACTCCATCATTACCTAACTTCTCTCCCTCTCTCCAGATCCTCCCCATACTTCAAAGGGAAATCAGATCTTCAAGTGAAGTCTTCCCTAACCATCCCAGCCAAGTGATCTCTCTCTTTCCTCTGGGTTCCTGTAACATATGTTTTCAGCATTATATATGTTAGAGCTTATATGATGCTTGAGTCATCCTTCAATAATGTTGGGAAGGTACATCCTGTCTCTTCAGGTAGACCACAAACTCCCTGAGGTCAGGGAACATATCTCCTTGTCCTCTCTCCTCTATAACGTCTAGCACAAGACCGTCCACACAGCAGGCACTGGTTGGTTCAAGAAACATTTATGGAGTGCCTTTGTGCCCAGCTTTGTGCTGGTCTGCTTCACGGGGAAGACATTCGCAGTCTTGGCCCTCAGGAAGTCTAGCTCCAATTCTCAATGGCCCACGTTCTGGGAGAAGAATCCACAAGCAAATAGATTTTGTCACTTTTCATGAACTAAAGTAAAGCATTCTGTAGGAATCAGTAGTTAGACTGACTTGCAAGTTGAAAGTGCAATGAAATGATCATTTTTTGCAAATGTAGTGAAGGAGAGAGGGAGAGATGGAGACAGGAAAAAGAGGGAGGAGGGAAGAAACAGAAGGACAGAAACAGAGGAGAGAGGCACAGAGAGACAGATACAGAGGAGAGAGAGACAGAGATAGAGACAAACAGAGACAGACAGAGACACAGAGAGAGGACAGACACAGAGACAGAGAGAGGAGAGAGAAACATAGAGAGAAGAGAGAGACATAGAAAGCAGAAGAGATTTCATAGACTTTGACTCTGTCTGTCTGTCTCTCTCTCTCCACCCCCACCCCCCAGTGTCATGCTGCCTCTATTGCAATCCAATTCCAAGCAGAAACGATGTGTCATTTATCCCTAATTTGGAGTTACCTGTACCCCTGCTTCCTTCTTCTGTCTCCCCTCTCCATCACTCAGCTTTACCCTCCCCTCTCCTATCCCCTGCTCCCTCCTCTAAACCAGTTCGCTTGGTTAGATATGGCTTAGGTACAGGACAGGGCTGGCCTGACTTCCTTCAATCTCCCCAGGTGCTGGAGGTCTTGGAGGGATAGTTCCTGGTGCTGGCATCCCAGGCGTGGGAGTTGTTCCAGGCATCGGAGCAGGTCCAGGTAAGCTGTTGTTTACCCAGTTTGGACTCTGCCCATTTTAGGCTACTCTTCATAGGGGGTCCTCAGGAACTGAGGAGGATACAAAGTATTTCCTAGGACCACAGAATGTCACAGCTGGAGGGGGGCCCTCTAACCCATGACCATCACTTTACAGAGAAGAAGACTAAGGGGAAGGGATTTCTCCTTTGTGACCAAAGTTCACAAACAAGGTCTGCAGAACAACTCAGGCTAGAGCTAAGGTCTCCTTACTGCTCTCCTGAGCCCTTTACATCATCCCCAGGCTGCCTCCTTCCTTTCCCTCTGAGGTCATTGTTTTCCAGGACAGCAGTCCTCAAACTTTTTGGTCTCAGGATCTCCTTACACTTTCAAAAGTTATTGAGGAACCCCTAAAGAGCTTTTGCTTATGTGGATTCTATATATAGCAATATTTACTACATGAGAAATTTAAATAGTTTTAACCTCACAGACCCCTTGGAAGGGGCTCAGGGCTCCCAAGGGTTCACAGGCCCCACTTTGAGAACCACTGCTCAAAGAAATCATAGGATCATAGAACCAGAGCTAAAAGTGACCTCAATGGCCATGCAGTCCATCATCCTCATTTTGCAATGAGGAAACTGAGGCCCAGGGAGGTGAAGGACCTTGCCCAGGGTCACAGAGCTGGTAAGTATCTGAAGCAGGATTTAAATCCAGGTCCAGGACTCTATCTACTCACTACATGCTATGCATCATCACTCAGACTTAACCTGGGACCTGGAACTCTGCTGGTTAGAGGAAATGAGACCCTCAGGAAGTGCATTTTCTAAAACATGCAACAAATTTTACACAGTCAATTCTCCCCTTTCCTGGGAAGGATGGTTGATGGTTGTCTGCACTTTCTATATGGCCTACACAACAACCAAAAGTAGCTGAGACAGTCCTGCCATCATTTCATGTTTCTCTTTGTTCAAATTAAAGTAGATCGACACCACAGGAGTAATGAAGCCTTGCTATGAGCTTATGGCCCTAATATACAAGAGACAGATAAATGGATAGGAAGATAGATAAGAAAGAGATAGACAGATGGATGGATGGAGGGATGGGTGGATGGATGAAAAGATGGATAGCTAGATGGATGGATAGGTAATCAGATGGATAGATGGATGGATAGGTAGACAAGAAAGAGATAGATGGTAGATGGATGAGAAAGAGATAGATGGAAAGATGGATAGATGGATAGATGGAAGAACAATCAGATGGATAGATGGATGGATAGATAGATAGACAAGAAGAGAGATGGTGGATGGATAATAGAGGGAGATAGATAGATAAGAAAGAGATAGATAGATAGATGAAAAAGATAGACAGATGGATAGATGGTAAGATGGATAGATAGCTGGATGAATAATCAGATGGATAGAGGGATGGATAGATAGACAAGAAAGAGATAGATGGTAGATGGATGGATGGATGGATAATAGAGAGAGAAAGAGATAGAGAGATAGATGAGAAAGATTGAAAGAAAGTTAGATGAGAGAGATAGGTGGATAGAAAGATGAATAGGTAGAAGAATGAATAATCAGATGGATAGATAGACAAGAAAGAGATAGATGATGGATGGATGGATGGATGGATGGATGGATGGATGGATGGATGGATGGATGATAGAGGGAGAAAGATCAATCGATAGATGGATAGACAGATGCAGATAGAGAGGAAGATAGAGCATTTATTAAGCTCTTACTATGTGCCTTCACTGGGGATACAAATACAATCAAGACAATTCTTGCCCTCAAGAAGTTTACATTCTCCCAGGAGAGATATAACATAAAGAGGAGCTGGAAAAGGGTCAGGGTAAACAGCATATAAGCCTGGTTCCCCATTAGCTCACATGTCTGAGCCTGGGGACTAGGGGGTAGAGTCCTTGTTGGGGCTGAGGGAAGGGGAATGGAGATGAGAATGATGGCCAAATCAAAGGCCAATGTGGGATGGCCAGGAAGCTTCTGTCATAAGCTTAGTTAGTGGAGTGAAAGATGAATGCACTTTTCTTCTAAAATATTTCTTAAATCAGAGATTAAGCATGGTGGCATTTTAGAGAGACCGAGCCTTTAAGGAAATGAGATACAACTCAGTACCATTTTCCCCAGTCTGAACTGTTTTGATCACAGCCTCATCCAACCCCAGTTTAGCCACCACATAATCCCAGCACTTTCTTGTATTGGGAGTCAGACAGCTCCCAGGAGAGCTCCAGGTCTGGAGGCCAGTGAGATTTCAAAACCCCTTCATGGCAGTTCACTGGCAGGTGCCCATGGCTTCCTCAGTCTCTGTTCTGTCTGGTCATAAGAGAAAACCTTAGTTTGCTGTTCTAAATTCCTTATCAGGTAGGAGGGTCTCTCTTCTTCATGACCCAGAACCTCACAGAGAACAACTGAGTCACAAATCATCTCTCTGTATCAGCAGATTGAATGCCCATTCCTACCTTTTCCAATCAGAAGATGATCATTCCACTGATTAACTTTTTCTTTATGAAAAAACTTCATTCTTTCTCCCTCCCTTCAAGTTTCTGCTGCATCTACCTGCAATGATTCTCCTTAGCTTCTTAAAGTAGGGGTGTTTAATTTTTTAAAAAATACATTTTGATAACTATATATAATTGGCTTTCTTTGTAATCCTTCATATTTTATTTTATGCATTTAAAAACATTATTCCAGAGGCTTCACCAGACACTGTCCAAGGGGTCCATGATGTCCGTGAAAGACTAGGAGCCCCTGTCTTAGAAGTTGTGATTGCCCCTAGATACTAGACTTGTTTTCCCAAATTGCTTCAGATCCAAATTATTTTAGGGGGGAAAAATCACCTATTAAAACTAATTTCTCTGTTATTTTTAAAATAAATTTTATTGACACTTTTTTTTAAACTTCCCAGTCATTTCTGGGAATACGCCCTCCCTTCCATCCATCCCCTCCTTCCTAGTTGAATCCTCCCTTTCAACAAAGAAAATGGCTGCTGTTCAGTCATTTCAGGCTTTTCTTGGCAACCACTGGAGTGATTTGCCGCTTCCTTTTCCAGCTCATTGGACAGATGAAGAAACTGTGGCAAACCAGGTTAAGTGACTTGCCCAGGGTCACACAGCTAGTAAGTGTCTGAGGCTAGATTTGAACTCGTAAAGAAGAGTCTTTTTTTTTTTTTAGGCAATTGGGGTTAAGTGACTTTCTCAGGGTCACACAGCTAGTAAGTGTCAAGTGTTTGGTCTGAGGCTGAATCTGAACTCAGGAAAAAAAAAAAAAAGAAGAGTCTTCCTGATTCCAAGTCAAGCCCTCTATCCATTGTGCCACCTAGCTGCCCTTAATAAAGAAAAACATTTACCCAAATCCACTCAGTGCAGTGAGCTGGCCTGATGATATATGCAGCACTCCACTCCAGTAGTCCCCGCCTCTCTGCCGGGAGGAAGGACCACAGTTGATTTTCTGTTCTCTAATGGCTTTTCAATTACTCAGAGTTCAGTTTCCTTTTAGTGACCTTTCCACTTGCATTATTGTCCCTCCTTGTGTTTATTGTTCTCCTGAATCGGTTCCAAACTGATTTCTCCAAGAGCTCATACCCCAACAAAATAAACATTTCAAAATGATTTGGCGAAGCCAGCCCTCAAATACCAAGACTGTCCTGGGAGGGGTGCTGACTCCAAGAGAAGGATGCTAGGGGATTAGGAGAACAGACAACCAAGTTTTTAAGTATAGATTTATAGCCATCTCATCTACACTGTTCACTTGTCTTTCCCATTTATCATATTTGGGAAATGGGGTGTGGATAGCCTCCAAGAGCTGCAATGGCTCTTATAGCTCAAATCCAGCCCCTTCGTTTTACAGATTCAGAAATGGGTCCATCGAGGACAATGGCCTGCCTGAGGTCACACTAGTAAGTTAGAAATAAAACTAGGATTTGAGAGCCTGTCGGGGAAGGATTTCTGAGACAGCCAGAAATTCATGAACGTGTAGCCTGCCTCAGCTGGGAGGAAGGAAGGGTTGGGGGGAATGGCTTCTCCTCCCTGGGCCCCTCTCTCCTTCACTGCCCCCGCTCAGTCCTGCTTCTTTCCCCTCTGTTTACAGGAGCACTGGCTCCATCCGCAGCCGCAGCCAAAGCCGCCGCAAAAGCCGCCCAGTACGGTGTGTACCCTCCTGAATGTGTCAGACTCCAGACCTCAGCTTTTCTTCGGTGTGGTTCCCAGGGGCTCCAGTCCTCTGCTAATGGCCTGACTAGGCATGACCAGAGGGGAGTAACATGGCGCCGCAGTGCACAGAGCGCTGGGCCTGGAGTCAGGAAGACTCATCTTCACGAGCTCAAATCTGGCCTCAGACACTTACCAGCTGTGTGACCCTGGGCAAGGCACTTCACCCTGTTTGCCTCAGTTTCCTCATCTGTCAAATGAGCTAGAGAAGGAAATGCCAAATCACTCCAGAATCTTCAACCCAAAAAAAATCCCCAAATAGGATCACGGAGAGTCAGACATGACTGGAAACAACTGAAACAGTCATGACCTGGGTCTCCCAACTCAGTTTCCTCATCTTCATTGGCTCTTTATCTGTTCCAATCCTCCTCTTCTATGCCTGCCTCCACGCCCCCTCCCCCAAGATGCCCACTTTATCACCAGCCATTCTCCCCAAGGACTGGGGCAAGTGGCCCTCCTGGAGGACAGAGGACAGTTTGGAAACCCACCCATGATAAGAAAAAGCATAATGTAGATTTAGAACTGGAAGAGGAAACTGAGGCCTGGAGGGGCCAAGATCATGCCTGCTATCGGTCAGTCATCTCTCATGTCTGACTCTTCGTGACCCCGAGGCCACACATATGTAGCAAATTTATAGGATCCTGGGTCTAGGGCTGTAGGCACCTCCAAGGACATCTTCATTTCACAAATGGGGAAACTGAGACAGGTGGAGGTTAAGTAATTCGCACGGGGTCACATAGCACTGAAGTGTCTGAGGCTGTATTCAAACTCAGGTCTCCTAGTGCCCAGTCCAGCGTGGATTCCAGCATGGAAAGCGTGTTGGATTTGGAGCCAGGAGAGGCCGGGGTCTGACTCCTGGCTCTCCACTTACCAGCTGTGGGATCTGGAGCAAGACCAGGAACTTCTCCGGCCCTCAGTTTCTTCCCCTGTAAAATGGGAGGATTGGACCAGAAGTCTCTGAGGTCCCTTCCAGTTTTAAATCCGGCTGATTCAGGGACTCCTCCCATGACTCCAGGCTCTCCATTTTACATCCCAAAGGCTTTCAGCAGAGATCACCTCCTATATAGCTTCCCGCCAGCCCACTTTCAGGACCCCTGTGGCTCAGGCATGGGCTCTAGGTCCCCCTTTTTTGTTCTCCACAGGGTTAGTCCCAGGTGTGGGAGGACTCGGAGGGGTCCCAGGTGTTGGTGTCGGAGGTCTCCCAGGTAAGAGGGAGTCCCTGTGGCACGGGCGGTGTGGGAGGGCACTAATACGTCCTCCCCATTGGAGGATAGATGGGCCAGTCCCTAACTCTGTCTCCCACTTGGTGTCTCCAGGAGCAGTATCTCCAGCAGCCCAGGCTGCGGCCAAAGCAGCTGCCAAAGCCCAGATTAGTAAGTAACATTTTGCAAAATTGTCTACTGCCTTGGGCCTAGAGACTTTACCCTAGACAAAGGTAGGGAACCTTTGAGGCTGCATGTGGCCCTCTAAGTCCTCAAGTGTGGTCTTTTTTTTTTAAATCAAAGGGCCACACTTGAGGACCTAGAGGACCACATGTGGCCTCAAGGCCACAGGTTCCCCACCCCTGCCTAGGCTTTTACAGCCAACCCTGAACTAATCATCCAGATACAGATTCTGTTCTTTTCTGCCCCCACGAAATCCTTTAAAAACAAAAGGTCCAGGGATTACTTGGGTTCTTCCCAACCTCTTCTGTATTAGCTTGCGCTGTTCCTCACTGGGAAAGACATTTGGGGTCTCAGCCCCTGGGCCACCTCGCAGTGGACTCCCTCTTCCGCTGGACCGGCTTTCCCTTGGGGTCCTAGCCCACGTGCCCACCAGGCCCTTTCTTTCGCCAGGAGCTGGTGCAGGGATTGGAGTTCCTGGCTACCTACCTAGAGCTGTAGATGGCATTGTCTCCCCGCCTAGTGTTGGAGTCATCCCAGGCTATGGACCTGCTGTAGGTGAGCATCCTGGACTGGAAGAGGTTTGAGTTGAGATTGTGCTCAGTGAGGGCAGGCACCATTCGAGAGGATGTGAGGAATAGGGACTTGGCCATATTCAGAGCTCAGTGGTTTGGGGCAGGATCTGGGGAGGCCACAGGGCCTGGTAGGTGCTCGGGGGGGGGGGAGGAGACCCAAGACCTGCCCTTGGGGAGCTTGTAGTCTGATAGAGAAAGGTTTCAAGAATTCAGCAGAGTAATACCAGAGATGTCACAAGCTGGCCTGAGATAAGCCAAGAATGGGAGGCATGAACAGTCCGAGCTCCAGTTTAGCCAAGGGAGAGATACGGTAAATGAGATACAGCTGATGTATCAGCTTCCAGTAGGGGAGAAGACTTATCAAACTGAGCCCGGAAATAGGAAGCTGGGTAGGCAGAGAGCAGTGGGTAGGGCTTTCCGGTCAGTCTGGTCTAGCCCAGGAATCCCTCGTCCCGGAACCTTTCACCTCCTTACGTTTTGGACTGTGAAAGTCCCTGAGTCTCTGTCTCTTCCTCCCCAGCTCCAGGAACCCTGGCAGCAGCGAAAGCAGCTAAGTATGGTGAGTGTCCTTCTCTGGTCCTCTCCTGGCCAAGTCCCAGGTGCCCCTTCTGTTGTGTCAAGGCACCATCTGTCGCAATCGCATGGCCTTGGTCCTGCCCTTGGAACTGTGGAGTGGAAGGTCCCCTTCTCATAGGAAGGATTAGCAGGCTCAAGGTGGGGGGAGAGAAGTATTTCTCAACCAATGCAAGCCTGGCACCATAAAACAAGTGCTGAGCCAGGAGAAATCAGGACATGTGGGAAGGGAAAAAATGCTGGCCCAGTTGGGACAAGAACAGTGGACATTTATAGAGCGCTTTAGGTTTACAAAGCACTTCACATACGTGGTCTCGTTTGAGCCCTAGAGCAACTCTGCGAGCAAACCCTGAGTCTGTGACATTAGAGTAGAAGCTTCTTGAAGGCAAGCCTCATTTTATTCTTTGCTGATGGAGCCCCAGCATCTAGCACAGTGCCTGGCACTTAGTAGGTGTCTCATAAATGCTGGTGAATAATCGATTAATTGATTGATTGATCATCCTCTTAGTTTCCTAAAACTCAGAGTTTCATGAGCCTGTATACCCCCCAAACATCCCAAATGAAAACCGAAAATATCCAGCTAGTTCAAATAACTCCCTGGGCCTCAGTTTCCTCATCTATAAAAAGGGAGAGGGGGTGGACTCACGGGCCTCTGCTTTAAGCGATTTGTCTTGGGAGGTTCCAAGTCCATCGGTCTCAAAAAAACAAACAAAAACAATAACAATCTTTCAGTTTGGTGCCACAAAAGGAAGAAATGTGGCCGTAGAATCTCTCCAGGCCTCAGTTTCCCCATCAGGAGGATAAAATAAAGACCTCCTAGGGCCTCAGTTTCCTCCTCTGTAAAATGAGTTGTATGGATTGGTGGCATCTGAGGTTCCTTCCAGCTCTAGATCTGAGACCTTGTAGACACCTAGATCATACCTAGATCTTACCTAGATCATACCGAAGCCTTCTTCCTGAAACACTTGTGTAATGGGGTTTTAGAAGTGCTTCTCTTCCTCCTCCTCTCCTTTCTCCTCATCTTCTTCCTCCTCTTCTTCTTCCCCTTCTTCTTCCTCTTCCCCTCTTCTTCCTCCTCCTCTTCCTTCTCCTCCTCTTCTTCCTTCTCTTCCTCCTCCTTCTCTTCCTCCTCCTCCTCTCTCTTCTCCTCATCCTCTTCTTCCTCCTCCTCTTCCTTCTCCTCCTCACCTAGTAAAGGGCAGGGGAATTGAAGGACAAAACAAAATCATTATGAGACACCCTGATGGAAGGAGGTGTCAATCTGTGGCCATGAGACTATATGGGACTGGCTCATATAGGGAGAGAACCCCAAATCCTGATTCGTATGCCCCATGCTCACTGTACCCAACAGTCTACTCTGCCATATGGTGCCCATGGAACCAGCCACCATCCAGCTACAGGAAGACAGGAAAAGACACTCCTCTCAAAACTTGAGGTCCAGAATCCCAGGTGTAGAGGCAATCAGGTGGTACAATAAATACAGCACCAGTGCTGAAGTCAGGAGGACCTGAGTTCAAATTTAACCTCAGACACTCGACACTTACTAGTTGTGTGACCCGGGGCAAGTCACTTAACCCCACTGCGTAGCCAAAAAAAAAAAAGAATCCCAGATATGGTAGCAAAGATTTCCCAATTTAATTCAATTTAACAAGTCTTTATTAAGCATCTACTAGGTGCCAGGTGGCTAGGCAGCCAAGTGGCACAATAGGCAGAGTGCTGGGCCTAGAGTCAGGAAGACTCATCTCCCTGAGTTCAAATTTGGCCTCAAACACTAGCTATGTGGCAAGTCACTTAACCCTGTCTGCCTCAGTTTCTTCATCTGTCAAATGAGCTGGAGAAGGAAATGGCAAACCGCTCCAGTCTCTCTGCCAACAAAAGTGGACCTACGTTCTAGACACGCAAGTGCTTTAAGAATGTTTTTTGAGAGCTATGTGGAGAATGGATTGTGGATTCAGGTCTGGCCTTTGCCATGGATCAGATCATTCGATTGTAGGCTCCTTGAGGGCAGGGCCTATTTCATTTTTGTTCTTTGGGTCTTCAGTGCCTAGCAATCAATCAATCTCTTGCTCTTTTTGTATCCCCAGTGCTTAGCCTGGCACACAGTAGGCGCTTAATAAATGTTATAAATTGAGCGTAGCCAGAACACTAGGAAAGCACCGCTCCCATGCTAAAGAACCTGCTTCTCTTGGTCTTGGGGCTGGGGTTTAACCCATTCCAGATTCTCAGTAGTGACCAGCTTGCCTGAAAGGTCCCTCCCCCTCCTGAGTCTGAAGGTTTCTGCAGCACTGTCCTGGTCCTCCAGCTGCCCATATCCCTGCCCATGCTGTGGCCAGGATCCTCTCTGTTAGATCTGTTGGGGGGGGACAGAGGAGGGGCCCTCTGGGCCTCTGAGGACGTGGCAAGAATGACGGCAACCCCAGGCTGGCACCCCCCCAAAGACAAGCTCACGCCAGCCGCCAACAAGAGCGCTGTCGTTTCTGGCCCGTCCTGCACTCGGCAGACCAGCAGATGATTTTCAGCTTGGTTTATTAGGATTCTGCGTGAAGCAGGATTCTTGGATGTCTCAGCCCATCTGAAGTCCACTGACTGGCCCATGCTTGTAGACCAGGGGCCCAATTTCCATCTTGGACAATCCCGTTCTTTTCCATCCCCTTCGTTCCAAAGCCACACTCCAGGGGTGTCTGCTCACACGCTTCCACGTCCACTCTGCTGGCCTTAAACCCACACAGGCTTTTAAGGAAGGTCAGCCTCATCCCCAGTCACTGACTCGGGCCTTCCCAGCTGCAAGGGCCTCAGAGGTCATCCAGCCAGCCCCCTCTTCTGACAGAGGACAAACAGGGCCAGAGAGGGGAAGGGACTTACCCAAGGCCTCCTGGCTCTCCCCATGAGACAGTCCCTGCCCTCAAGGAACTTATAGTCTCTAGGAGGGGTTTGTATTTTATCCTTGGGGCAATAGAAGCTCCCAGAGCTTAAGCCCAGGGTGCCTCTCTCTGTTTTGTGGGGCATCCGTCAGTATTCCTTGCTTTTGTTTAGCGTTTTAAAGTTTTTGTTTGATTCTCCAGGTTTAAAAAATATATATATAGCCCTGTAAGGCAGGCAGGGACCAGCATGATTCTCCCCTATCACCCTCTCTCCTCCCACAACCTTCTACAGGTGACGAAACCAGGGGCAGCTAGGTGGCACAATGGAAAAAGTGCAAGCCCTGGAGTCAGTAGGAACTGAATTCAAATCCAGCCTCGATACTTCCTAGCTGTGTGACCCTGGGCAAGTCACTTAATCTTGTCTGCCTCAGTTTCCTCATCTGTCAAATGAGCTGGAGAAGGAAATAACAAACACTCTAATATCTTTGCTGAGAAAATCCTACGTGGGGTCACGAAGAGTCAGACGTGACTAATCAACAAAACTTAAAATAGTCAAGAGGTTGGACTCTTGGTTCTGACAATTTACTACCTGTACGACCTTAGGCAAGCCCATCACTTCTATTCCAAGACATCAGTTTCCTCATCCGGAAGGCAGGTGTTGGACAGAAGCCCTCCAAAGTTCCTCCTAGTCCTCGGCCTGTGGATGAGCCCAGAAGCTGTAGAGTGGAGGTGTCGAACTCCGTGATTCCTGAGGCCCCTTCCAGCCCTAGTGAGAGGATGCTGGGAGGAAGGAAGAAAAACGTGCTGTTCAGCCTCTGACTTGCTTTATTCCTCTACTATATGTCTCTCACTCTGGGGGCAGGAGCAGGGAGGGCTGAGGACCCTCCACCCCTGAGGCTCAGTGCTAATGGGGTCTTGACTTCCTTCCTCTCAGCAGCAGCTGGAGGGCCTGCAGGCGGCTTGGTACCTGGTGTGGCTGGAGTCCCAGGAGCAGGAGTCGGGGGTCTAGGAGGTGTTCCAGGTGAGTAAAGCAGTGCAGGCCTTGTCAGGCAGCCAGCAAACATTTATTAAGCATCTGCCATGTGCTAGGCACTGTGCTTAAGCACTGTGCTAAAAAGGCAAAAAACAAAAAACCAAAGTGCCTGCCCTCAAGAAGCTTACAGTCTAATGGGGAAGGTGACATGCAAACCGCCATGTACAAACAAGATAATTTGGCAATAATTACCAGAGGGAGGGCCCAAGCATTAAGGGGGATGGGGAAAGGCTTCCTGCAGAAGGTGAGATTTGGGCTGGGACTTGAAGGAAGCTAGGGAAGCCTGGAGAAGATGAAGACATAATCCTCTAGGCCAGTAAAGATGCACTGAGTCAGGAAATGGAGCGTCTTGTTCAAGGGGACAGCAGCGAGGTCGGTGTGGCTGGATTATACAGTGCATGGAGGGGCAGTGAGGTCAAAGGAGTCTGGAAAGGTAGGAAGGAACCAGGTTCTGAAGGGCTCTAAAAGCTAGCCAGAGGATCTTATATTTGACCTTGGAGGCCATGGGAGACTGCTGGAATTTACTGAATGGCAGGCATGGTCTGACCTGCGATTTGGGAAGATCATTTCATAGCTGGATGGAGGCCAGGAGACCAAGCCGTGGTGACTGCAACAGTCCAGGGCTGAGATGGTGGCAGGAGGAGCATCCTTGGGGAAGGGGCCTTAGTCCCTTAGCTCTTCTGTCTGTCCTTCCAGGAGCAGTTTCCCCAGCTGCAGCTGCAGCTGCCAAGGCCGCTGCGAAGGCTGCCCAGTATGGTGAGTGTCCTGCTCCCCCAGCCGTCCCCAGCCCTCCAGGCCAGGTTTGTGTGTGTTTCCAAAACGCCCACTCTCAGGCGGTGTCTGAGGTTCCACCAGACAAGTGTGCCAATTTAACAACCTGAACATGTGCCCACTGAGCCACGCTGCCTCAAAGTCCTCTGCTCCGTGGGAGATGTCCTCAGCTTTCAATCTTACTGCTAAGCACCCCCCAGCACGTCCCCTTCTCCCTTCCCCAATCCTGTGGTCACTACCTCCCCACACCTCCTACAGCGATGTCCCCAAGAACTTGGGGTAGTGGAAAGAACATAGGCCTGAGAGTGAGGAAGCCTGGCTTTCATTCCTGACGCCACTCCACTCGCTGTGTGACCCTGGGCAAGAGAAAGAAGAAGGGTAGCTAACATTTCTGTAGTGCTTACTACGTGCCAGGAACTGTGCTAAACACTTTCTAGTTATCTGATCCTCACAACCGTGGGAGGTGGGTACTATCATTATCCTCATTTTACAGATGAGGAGACTGAGGCAGACAGAAGTCAAATGACTTTCCCAGGGTCTGTGAGTTTATGAGTCTGACTCATATGCTGATGATAACACAGCTTTACTCTCTTCACATTCCACAGGCCTGGGAGGCAGAGGCATCCCAGGAGTTGGCGGTATCGGAGGGGTCCCAGGCGTCGGCATCGGAGGGGTCCCAGGCGTCGGCATCGGAGGGGTCCCAGGCGTCGGCATCGGAGGGGTCCCCGGTGAGCTGTCATTCCTGAATCTGTGGGTGGATAGACCCTCCTTGTATTCCCCTAAATACATCCTGTCCAATCCTCCTCCAACCCTCAACTCAGACCTGTCCCCAAAACCTGGAAATCCTTCCCCTCCACCTCAGCAAATCCCAATGACCATCTCCCAAGCGGTGGGTGCCTCCTCCTCCAGGAAGACTTTCCCGGCCACTCCAGCCTCATCGATCACCCCTCCTCTAAGCCTCCTCAACCCCACCTGCCTTGCCCAGTCCTTTGGACCAGATGCCAACTCGCAATGACAGTTATCTCCTCATGGGCCTCATTCTTCCCTTCTTACACAAACTATAAACTCCTCAAGGTCTGGGCCTGTGTCCTCCCTTCTTTCGTCTCTACCAGCCCATCTAGCACAAGGTTCTAGAGACAACAGACACTGAACAAGCCTGGTGATAATGGATGAGTGAATGAGTGAAAGAATGAATAAATGGATGAATTCGAACAGGTAGAGGCTGCCTCCGGATGGTAGTAGAAGTCTGAGCCTTCTCTTCTTTGCCCCACAGGAGCGGTCAGTCCAGCTGCAGCTGCTAAAGCCGCTGCCAAAGCAGCTAAGTACGGTGAGTGCCCGTCTCTGCTAGGTTTCAGGGAACCCCAACAAATCGAAGGCTTGTGAAGAGGAGACATCTAGAAGGCATGGGGTGTTTGTTCAGAATAGCACAGGGCCCTGGGGGGCAGAAGGGCACAGAAGGCTGGGGCTGAGGGGCAGCCCCACTGAGCCCAGTGATTTTGAGCATCTCAGGTGGAATGTGCCCCCTGTTCTGGGCGGAGGCCGTGGCTGCCTTGGAAGAAGAGGCAGCCCCTCAGGCAGGGACCCCCCGACCCATGATCGTGGCGTGCCCCTGTCGATCTGGGGCCTGACTTCTAGTTTTCCTCTGCTCTAGGTGCAGCTGGTGGAGCTGGCCTCGTGCCAGGAGCTGGAGGTTTGCCAGGGCCCCAAGTGCTGCCAGGGGCAGGTGAGTCCTTTCTCCGAGACCATGGTTGTGATTCAATCCAAGTCAAGAAATCAACAAGCTTTTGTGAGTGCTTACTCTGGGCCTGGCAGTGTACTGAGTGCCAGGAGTAAAGGGAAAAAAAAGCAAAAATAGTCCCTGCCCTCAGGGAGCTTACATTCTAACAGGATAGGACTCCACCAGCCCTGAAGGTTTCTCATGAACCAGCCTGCCAGGAGCCATTGGCTTCTGAGCCCTGCCAAAGCTCCTGTGCGCACAGGGCAGTGCGTGCACGTGTGGAGAAAGGCAGGGAGGGGGGAGGAAGGGTAGGGACCCTTCTGAGACAAGCCAGGACTTGTTCCCTGGGGCCTTCTGTGCCCTGAGTCGCACTGGCCTGGACACAGAGTGGAGGGACCAAGGGAAGACAGACATCGTCCCCATCCTCTGGGGTTCTGGAGAACCTGTGGGCTGATGTAGAGGGAGACCCTGCCTCTGTCCTCAGAGAGCTCCTGGTCTGATGGGAGACACACAGTTCCTATAGTTGGAAAGCCCCCATCTGAGGAGCCTGCCTTTAGGAAGTCCCTTGTCTGAGGGGGAAAACACGGAACCCCCAACATCAGGACAGACAAATGAGAAAAAAGATCTATAACCTCTCTGTAGCTCAGCAGAGTCAACAGGAGAGCATAGAGGGCAGGGAAGACGATGTCTAGGAGCCCAAATTGACCCTGAGCAGGGAGCAGCAGTGACAGCTATGATCCTCCCCTCCCTCTCTTCCAGCCAGCCCCCCTCCCCTCCCATTCCCCAGGCCAACAGACAAGTGCCCATTCATTGCCCTCCAGCCCAGGGCAGCCAGGGAAAGGCTCTCACACTTGCAGCTGCCCCAACATGGGGGAGCAGAGCCACCCTTGGGGCCCCACTCAACTCCATCAATGAGGATGATGGGAGGCAGCTGTCTGGGAAGTACCTTGGCACCAAGGCAATCACTGCCCGAAAGGCTGGGGTCAGAGACCTTGGCCGGGTCTCCAGGCCCAGGAACAAAATTAGGCCCTCGCAAGAGGGTGTGGTGAGCAGGGCAGGGACCAGGCTGAGGTCCAGGAGCTCCAAAAGGGAGGGCCAGGATTTCTCTGGAGACATGATAGGGTAGAAATAGGGATTCTCTCTCCTTCTTGGCCTGGCCCAGGAGGCCAGGGGCTTGTTTTCTTACTGACCCTCCCAACAACCCTGGGGAGCAGGCAGAGCCGGGGCTTAGAGGCCAGGTTAGAGTGGGAGTCCAAATATCCCTGTTTCTGTCAAAGACACACCTCCTCCCCCAAATCCAATCAGCCTCCAGATCTCCTCCTGTCTACTTCTACAGAGTGTCCTCCCTCCGTCCCCTCCCTCCATTTACAGCCCTTGCCTAAAGTCACATCCCTGCTGGACTATTACGATCACCTCCTCCTCAGCCTCCCTGCTTCTTGCTCCCTGGCAGTCTCTCCCCACTCCAGTCTAGCTTCCTTGTGGCTGCCAAAGTGACGTTCCTAAAGTCACTCATCTACTCAATAAACTCCAATAGCTCCCTATTACTGTTATGATAAAATACACAATTTCTTGCTTGTGTTTTAAAGCCATGGCCCCCACCTTCCTTTCCAACTGTTATGTTAGAGGCAGCTAGGTGGTACAATGGATAGAGTGCTGAGCCTGGAGTTAGGAAGACCTGAGTTCAAATCCAGCCTCAGATGCTTACTAGCTGTGTGACCCTGGGCAAGTCACTTGTATTCTGTCTGCCTCAGTTTCCTCATCTGTCAAATGGGGATAGTAAGAGCATCCAAGTTCAGGGCTGTTGTAGGGATTAAATTTGATAATATTTGTAAAGGGCACAGTGCCTGACACGCAGTAAGTGCTAGATAAGTATTAGCTATGATAATTATTATTGTTCTCCACTTCCCACAATGCAACCCAGGTAACCTGGACTTCTTGCTGTTTCCCATGCATGGCTCTATCTCCCTTCTCCTGTGCCTTTCATTGATTATCTCCCATGCCTGTGATGTCCTTCATCCTCAACTTCACCTCTTAAAATCCCTTGTGCTATCCATCAATCAACATGCATAGATTAAGCACCTACTGTATGCCAGGCACTGGGGTGGGGTGGGGGGGGAGTGAAGCTTCACAGGACTCTGGCTGTGAGCCCCCCGCTGCGTTGTATGGCTAGGCTGGAGTTAGTGAACCCAGCTTCACCTGCCCACTGTCAGTCATTCTCTGAATGACCCTAACCAAGTCAACTTATCTCTTTGGGTCTCAGTTTCCTCATCTGTAGAATGAGGGGATTGGACCACATGGCAGCCTCTAATCCCACCCTATCTCAGCCATCACTAACCCCTGCTTCCTCCTCTTTGCAGGTGCCCCATCATTTGGCTATGGACTTTCACCTATTTTCCCAGGTAGGTGAAGTTGGCAAGGCCCACCCTCCATTAATGTTCGCAGACTGAGGAAAGCCAGGAGTTCTCCCCCTCCCCCTTAACTGGCAAACCACTCCCCGGCTTCCTCATCTGTGAAATGGGAATAATAATCTTTATTCTATTACCTCCCTCCCAGGACTGGGATGAGGAAAACCTTTATTAACCCTTAAAGTGCTACAAATGCAAGATGCAGCTTTCGCTCCCCAACACACCCCCTCCTTTTCCTGGATCTCAGGGTCCTGGCACAGACAACATGCCCTGGGGGCCTGAGCTGCCCTCATTCCAAGATCTTGACAAAAGGGATGAAGATTTAGGCTGGACATCAGTAAAGCGCCCCCTCTCTCTTTTCTCCCTCCATTCTTTGCTTCCTTCTTTCTTTCCTTTCTACTTTCATCCCTTCCTTGTTTCCTTCCTTCCTTTATCTTCCTACTTCCTTCTCCCTTCTCCCTTCCCTATCTCCCTCATTCTTTTCTTCTTTTCCTCTTCCCTCCCATACTGCCTCCAACTCTACCTCTTTTCCCTTTTTCCCTCCTTCCCTCTCTACTTTCCTCTTTTTCTCTTTCCTTCCCTCTCTTTCTTTTTTCTTTTCGTCCTTCTTTCCTTCCTTTTTTCTTTCCTTCATCTTCCCCTTCATTCCTTCCTCCCTATCTCCTTCATTCTTCTTCTTTCCCTCTTTCCTTTCTCTCCCTCCTTTTTTTCCCTTCCCTCTTTGTAATTCTATTCTTCCCTCCCATACTCCTTCCATCTCTGTCTCTTCTCCCTTTTTCCCTTCTAATTCTTCCCTTCCTTTGTCCTCACATATCTCAATCACTTTTTAACTTTTCCAAAGCACTTTTCACATATTATCTTTAATACACATACACATCCTCACAAAGATCCCTGTGAAGTAGGAAGTACAGAAGTGATTCTTTCCATTTTACAGAGGAGATAAGCTGAGTCACAAAAAGATTAAGTGACACAGGGAAAGTCACAAAGTGGCAAATTCACGGCAGAGCCAGACTACTGTGTCTACCAGACATCCTTCTCCAGCTGTCTTTCCCAGGCCTTGGGCTCCATCCTCTCTGTCCCTGTTTCTAGGCAGGATGGGAGATGGGGCTGAATGCTTGTTGACTGAATGAGTAGACTCATTTTCCTGATCTCTTGCATTGCAGGTGGTGGAGCTGGTGGTCTGGGATTTGGTGGTAAGTAAACCTATACCAAGATGGCAGCACCCGTGTCCCTGGATTCAGAGGGACCTAGGAAATCTAATTTCATTTGCTAGGGTTTGGGGGGCTTTTTGCTGTTTATTTGTTGAGAATCCCTTACAATAGAGCACTGGGCTTGATGCCATGAGGGATCTAAATATGGCCAAGACATAGTTCTCACATTCAAGAAGTTTGTAGTCTAAGAGGAGATGTAAGACATAGAATCCAGAGGTGACCTCTAATATAAGGCAGAGAGTGAAGGGGACAAAAGCCCATAGGAGTTCGTAGGAGTGAGCAATGGATTAGAGCGATCAGGGAAGACTTCCTGGAAAAGGTGGGCCCTGACAGATGGGTAGGATTTGAAGGAAGAGAGAACATTCTGGGCTGGACAAAGACCCAGAAGCTGCAGTGAGATAGACCCAGACACAGCACAGATGCAGATGCAGACGCAGACGCAGCCCCAGACGCAGACCCAGACACAGCGCAGACGCAGGCGCAGACACATGCAGGTTAAGCAATGGGAGATAAAGCTGGCAAGGTCAGATTGTGGAGCGCCTGGAATTTGGATCTTATCCTCTTGGCCACTTTACACTTAAAAATTATTGAGGACCCCCCCAAAGGGCTTTTTAAAATGTGGGTTCTATCTATCAATATTTACCATGTTAGAGATTAAAACTGGTAAAGTTTTAAAATATTTTTATTAATTATTTTTAAAATAACAATAATATACATTGTTTATGAAAAATAACTATATTTTATGAAATATATACTTGTGAAAAATTACATTTTCCAAAACAAAAAGAAAATATAATGAGAAGAGTGGCTTTTTTAAATATATTTTTGCAAATCTCCTGAACCACTATCAATACAAGGTAGCTGGATTCTCGTATCTGCCTTCAATCTGTTGTGATAAGTTGTTTTGGTTATAGTACATGAAGAAAATCTAGCCTCATACAGACATGTCGTTGGCAAAGGGAAGAATATTTTAGAGACAAATAATGTCTTAGTATTACTATGAAAATAGATTTGACTTCACAGACCCCCTGAAAGGGTGTCAGGGCCCCCCAGGTAGAGTTGTGCTGGAACCGGTACAAATAGCTGAGAACTGATTGTTAAATGTTCATTCAGTGTTCACATTTAGACCTCAGAAATGAGCCCAAGGCTTCATTGATAATTCTGTTGACTGTCTTCTTAAAGGGTTGGGGGAAATGTGAATAATGCAGACTAAACTTATAAGTGTATCATGAATACATTTTCTTCTCCCTGGAGGGCTGGCTGTTAAACATTTACCAGCACATCCCTGCCCCCAGAGGTCCTTAGACTATATTCTGAGAATTGATACTGTAGGTCATGGGGAGCCATTGAAGGTTGATGAGTGAGATTATGCAAGTGGTACATGAGGAAGATCACCCTGGCAGTTGGGCATAAAGTAGATTCTAAGAAGAGGGGCCGGTAATAGAGAAACCAGTCCACAGGAGACTTACAACAGTCCAGGTGTAACTAGGCTGACAGTGGTATATGGAGGAAAGGAAAAAGATGAGCTCTGGGGTCTGGGTTCAGATCCTACCTCTGGTGTTTGCCACCTGCATGACCTCAGATGAGTCACCTAATCTCCCCAGATTCAGTTTCCTCATAGGTGAAATGAAGGGATTGGACCAGCTGGCCTTCAGGTCCAGTGCTCTAAATCTGTGGTTCTGTGACAAGGCTCGGATTCTCCTTAATCAGTACCCACCCTGAGCCCCAAGGAACTGGGTCTGCCCAAACAGTCCCCTGAGCCGAGGACCTGCGATGGCCTCCCCTCGGGTGCCTTGCCCGCTGGCTGAGGTGCCTAGAGGCACGGGGGCTTCTGGGCATTGGGACTGCTTGGCGGGGGAAGGGGGAAGGAACCTGGAGCTGCCACGACTCACAAGTGCCTCTGCCCTCACTTTGTCTTCCACAGGAAAACCTTCCAAACAGTATGGCGGCGCCCTTGGAGCCCTGGGATATCGAGGTATGTGAGGACATTGGGGATGGGGTGGGGGGGAAGGTAAATGTCTATTTCATCAAAAGCTGGGATCCCCTAGACCTCGGGTGGGTTAGGTAGGTCAGGAAAAGAATGTCCCTGAAGCCCAAATAGACAGGAATAAATGGCAAGAGTCCACCAGCCCAGCCACTCCCCCTGGTCTGGCTCCCTGGGCGCTTCCAGGGCAGCCAGCCTTCCAGGACCCTCCTTCCTACAGGGCTGTCCTCTCCTATGATCAGACCAGAGGGCTTTGGGTCCCATCTTCCTCAGCACCCACTTCTGAAGGGAATAGGGGAAGAAGGAAAGGAATGCAGAGGAGAGAGAGAAGGAGGGAGGGAGAGGGGAAAGAGAGAGAGAGAGAGAGAGAGAGAGAGAGAGAGAGAGAGAGAGAGAGAGAGAGAGAGAGAGGAGAGAGAGGAAGGGAGAGAGAGAAGGAGGGAGAGGAAAGAGAGAGAGAAGAAAAGAAAAGAGGGGAGGAAGGACAGAGAGAGGAGACTGAAAAGACAGAGAGAAAGAAAAGAGAAGAGAAAGGGAGGAAGAAGTTAAAGGAGAGAGAAGGAAGATAGTGAAAAAGGAAAAAGGAGGGAATAGGTGAAGAGAAGGAAAGGGAAAGAGAACGGGAGAGAAATGCGTGGTGCAGAGTGTGGTGAGAAGGAGCTGGAGTGTCTGGTTGTCGGGAGCACATTTGCTCATCCACTTCCCCCCTTCCTCTCCCCCCAGCCCCCTAATCCGTAGGCACTGCTGATTTCCCAAAGCACTTCCCCGCATTATCTCTAAGGCTCCTCACAGGGCCACGGCACATGCCTAGCCCCATTTGACTGGTGCAGAACCTGAGTGTGATATGACTTGCCCCAACCACACAGGGAGTCAGTCAGTCAGGGGACAGGCCCGAGACTAGGATCTAGACCTCTCACATCCATCCCACCTGAAGCAGGCACTGAGGGCAAAGTCACAAGCTAGCCTGCAGGAGCCAGAATAGGGGTGGTCAGAAAGGCTGGTCCTCTGTTCCCTGCATGTACATTGGCTGCCACCAGGTGGTAGTAAAGAGTCTCACACAGGACCAAGCAGGAACCTCGCTGTCCTAAGATCTCAGCAACTCATTTACAGGTCTCCTTAAATGGGGGGGGGGGGGGGAACATTCTTTTATCAGAATGGATGAAAACAAATGATCAAATAAAATAAACATGAGTCCAAGAGGCCCATTCTTCCATGCCAATGAGGTAAGAGAGAAGACGGCGCTTTCATGGCTTCTCCTGCATCCTCAGAGGATGCACAGCCTGGCCAGAGACTTCTTTCTCATGCATGGCTGAGCTCATTCCACAAAAGACCTTCCTAAGGCTCCGGATTGTTGCTTTGAACTCCCTAGGCTGGGAGGCAGTTTGGCCTGATGGATGAAGCCTTAGCCTTGGACCAGGGGTTCTCAACCTTCACAGGTCCCCTTGGAGAGGCTATTTTACCTTTTTAGGGTAAGCCCCTTTTCTGAATCATGTTTTGAAAGGCATAAAATACACAGGATTAGAACAGAAGTCATTTGTACTGAAATACAGCTCTCAGAATGTTTAAAAAGCAAGTTTACAGACTCCCAGGTTAAGGACTCCTGCTACAGAGTCAGGAAGACCGGCCTGAATCCTGTCTCACAATGTCACTAGCTGTGTGATTCTGGGTAGGTCACTTCATTTCTCTATGATGCAGCTTTCTCACATGTTAAAATGGGCATGACAATGCACAGACTTCACAGAGACAGAGTTGTAAGGCTCAAGCGCAATGTGGTGTGTGCTCGTGTGAATGTGTGAATAGTGGTCTGCAAATTTTAATCGATCGATCAAACTTTTATGAAGTGCCTCCCATGTGCCAGGCACTGCGCTAAGCCCAAGTAACATACATCAGCTGCTATCATCATCCTCACCGCTATGTAATTATCATTGTTATTATTAATACCGTGGGAGCTACCTCTGCCCTCCCAGGAACTTTTGATCCACAAGAAAGTTAGGGCCAATCTTTTTCACATCTTTGTGACCAACAGTAAATGACATCCTCTTTCTGGTCCTTCGCTTCTTCCTCCAGACAAAGGAGGCTGGCCTCATGGAATATTGCTCTCTTTCTTTCGCAGGCGGGGCTTGTTTGGGGAAACTGTGTGGCCGGAAGAGAAAGTAAATCTTCCCAGGACACCTGACCCGCGACCTCATGAACTTTGGTGCTACTGCCTAGTCTAGAATGTATACCTTGAGTGACTCCCTCGCCCCTCCCTCCTCTGCCCTCCCCTCCCCTCCCCCCCTTCCTCACCCTTCTCCCAGGGTCAGATCCTTCTCACTGGAGTGTTCCTACAGTCACCCACCCATCTGGTGGGGGTAGGGGATGGGGTGGAGGCACGGGCCCACGGGGCAAGCAAACACAAGAACCAGGGGCCAGCTTGGAAGTCTGTCCCCTTCCCTAAAGGAGCTTGGCTAAGGGGAGGGATCAGACATCCTCCCCCATCACCACCACCACCACCCCATTCCCACCTAGGAGCTCTCCCCTCTGCGTTCGTGATCTTGAGGGAAATATGGTGCTACTCGTTGGTGCTTATAACTTTCTTGGGGGTGAGGGAGGAGGGAAGAGGGGGACCCCCTGGAGGAGCCCCTCGCCTGGGGGCTCCTCTAAGCACAGCCTTGGAGATTTTCAAGACATCCAACCCTACCCCCACCAGGAAAGGTCAGCCCAGGACCCACAGCCATGCTCTCCCACTGGGATGACCAGTCTTTGGGGTTGGGTCTGCTTGCCCTACCTTGTACCCGAGCACTTCAAATCAGCCTCAGTCCTGGTTGTGACCCATCCAGATCTGGCCACCTCTCCCCCCCCCCCACCCCAGAGGGCTGTCCCTTCAGTCTCTCCCTTGCTGCTCCTCGCATCCATCCATGGAGCCAAAACACCTGAAGACTGGGGACAGCCATGCCCCTGATCTTTTCGGAATTTATCCTTCCATCCATCCGTCCACCCCTCACCCAAAAAAAGTTTACCACCCAGTCTGGCAAGAGGCTCCTGCCCCCAGCGGACTTGAATGTCTTTCAGTGATGCCCTCCACCTTGTAGGACCTGTCCTGGTCTTTCCCACCTCTACCCCTCACCCCAGCCCTGCCACCACCTACACTCACACACACCAGTGGCAAGGGGAGACCCCTGCCATCGGCAGTGTGGGAACGCATGCATGTATTCACCATTGACAGCGACTCCATCCCCACCAGGCCTGGGACAGCCACCACTGCCGAGAACCCCAAGAGGCCCGAGGGTGGGGCTGCGGCGGGAGGGGAATCAGAGGGAAATGAGGACCCAGAGCTCCCCGCCTATCCCTGGTATATCTCACACAGCAGTACTGTATCCTCAGCCCCTTGAGCCCCGGGCGTCGGAGCAACTCTTCCCAACATTCAGGCCCTGTCTCCGTGTCTCGCTGTGATAGATCAATAAATATTTTATTTTTTGTCCTGGATACTTGGGGTTTATTTTGGTTTGGGATTTTTTTTGTTTGATTTTGTTTTTGGGGTGTGTGTTTAAATTTTTTTCTGGTTTGGGGAGCTGTATCCCCACAGAGGGAACTGACCCCCCCTGTGTTCATTTTAATCACTTTGGTATCACTTTGGATGGAACACACTTTTTTTTTATAAGAAAAGGAAAGTAACTGCTTCAGAAAACAGACTAATAAATGAAAACCTTCTAAAGGAAATGGTGTCCTGGCCTCTTTTGACTTACCTCATTCTCTTGCAATCTGTCAATCAATACCACCACCACCCCCCCAAAGAATGCATGCTTACTGTGTGACCAGACCTCAGCTAGGAGCTATGGGGGATAGGAGTGAGAAATGGGACATTCCTAAGGCTCCAGGAGCATACCAGATAGTGAAGGAAACCAGACTCACCCAAGTCCATTAACAAGAAGTTGGGAAATATTTACTATGTTTAAGCCCTGTGCTGAGCTGGGGTCACAAAGAAAGAACAAAAAATGATCCGTGCCCTCACGGAGCTTACATACTAATGGCCCAGAAAACAACTGCTTGCTTCGTTCTGGGTGCTATAAGGAGTCAGAAAAAGGGAAGGGGGAAATGGAAGGATGGGCGGATTTAGACACTCAAGAAAAACCTCAGGATAGTAGATCTAGAGCCAGAAGGGACCCCCATGGTCATCTAGTCCAACAGATGAGGCTCAGGGACGGTAACTCGCCCGATGTCACACAGGGAGAAGGGGGGATTTGAACCTGGGTCTTCCAACACCAAACCATTGACTCTTTGCCACTGTACCAGATGAGAGGAGAATGTTCATAAGAAACTCCATTTTTGAGTTGGAAGGAACATTTGACATTAAAGGCTCGGAAATCTAGAACTGGGAAGGAGCCCAGACCATCTTGTCCGACTCCTTCCTTCTGCAAATGTAGCAGCTGAGGGATTTGCCCAGGCTCACACAGGTAGTAAGCAGAAACGCTCAGACTTGAATCCAGATCTGCAACTCCAGATCCAGAGTTATTCTCCCCTCTGCCGTGTTCCAGTTCCACCCTAACATACCATAGCCTGCTTTTGCCCGCCATCTGTGGGATCATGGGAGCCTCGTTTGGAAGTTGGAAAGGACTCGAAGGGTCATTAAGTCCAGCCATGTCATTTTACTTAGGAAGCACAAAAAGGTTAAGTGATCCGGCCGGAGCTAAGTGTCTGAGTCAGGATTTGTACCCAGGTCCCCTTATTTCTAGACATCTTTCCATTGCCCTTGAGGTCTGTGGTGTTCTGGGATCCACAGCCATATAGGCAATCAATCGATTAACAAGCATTTCAAAAGTACTTACTATGGGGTGTATCAGGCACCGTGCTAAGAGCTGAGAGTGCAAAGAAAGGCAAAAGCGTGGTCCCTTCCCTCCTGGAGCTCATTCTAGTGGTGGAGACAGCATGCAAATAACCATGTACAAACAAGATGCAGTCATCCCTTCCACACTGAGACTTTCCCATCTTGGTTTCACTATTTCACAGGTTGGCATAAGAAATTAAATGGGAATTTGGGGGTAGTTTTGTGGAAGCCACAGACAACATGCGAAGGCCAGCAGACAACACAGAAAAGTTTAGGAACTCAGAAATGCATAAAATATATGTACAGTATTGTGCAACACCAATATATTTTATCTTTTAATACTGTAAAAACAGCGTAAAAGAAAAAGAAAAAAATTCAGACTTCTTCTCTGCTACAGAGGGCCAAAAAATTTTATGCTGATTTTCCAGACAGCAGGGTGCTGTACCCCTAAGCCTGTGATGTGGAAGGGATGACCGTATGTCCGAGGTCATCTCAGAGGGAAGGCACTAGCCATGTTGGAGAAGGGAGATAGGGGACGGGGTGGGCAAGAAAGGTCTCCTGGAGAAGTGCCAGGAAAATATTAGAGTTAAAAGCGGGGGCCTTTCTCCAGGGAGAGCTGCTTGGGAGTGGACAGAACATGGCACCTTCTCTAAATGCCTCTAAGCCATGTCCTCCATCTACAGCCTTGCCTGAGAGGCCCTTCTCGGTGGGTTAGGTTGACAGGCTTTCACTCCAGCTTCATATCATCATCAAGGCAATATGAATATTTCACCTACTTCATTCCCCTGACTCCCATATGGGTATAGAGACTGACCTTTGTTATTTGTGGATTTCACTAAGGAAGCCTCTTTCTAGGGCTCTAGGGTTTGATGAGATTCGCATAATGGAACCTTCAGGAAAAAGAATAAGCATTTATATGGTGCCCTACTGCGTGCCAGGCACATGCTAAGTTTTTTACGAATATCTCATCTCACTCTCACAACAACCCTACAAGATAGGTACTGTTCTTATCCCTATTCTAGGGGTGAGTTAACTGAGGTTGACCCTCTCCAGAGTCACACAGCAAGGAAGCCTCTGAGTCAGGATTCACACTCAGATCTTTTTGATTCCAGATCCAGCATTCTCTCCACTGAGCCACCCAGGAGGACATCACCCTTGATAGGAAATCCTCCCTGTGTTTGGATTGAACTCAAGGCTTCTTCCACCATGCTGGTAGAACACTTGGGGAAGGAGCTGGGTAGTAACATAAGCCTTCAGTGAGTCCGTGAGCTCCATGTGGATTCACTTCATAACCCATCCCTTTCTCCTCAACCTGGGCCACTCTCCACATCTCTGGAGCTTCAGAGGGCCCAGGTTCAAACTCCCCCCGTGAAGCTTAATAGGCTATCTGGTGAAGCCCTGCCTGTGGCACCTCAGGCAAGCCTAAGATAAATGTGCCCTTGCCCCAGTGTTTTAAGGAAAATTCACTCAGGGGGTCTCAGCAGGAGACTCTGGGCCACCAGGCTCTATTGGGGACCCTGTGATGCCACTCTCATGCAAGAGCCAGAGCATCACAGAAGCATAACATGTCAGAGGTGGAAGATGGCTTCCAATCCCTTCATTTTATGAAGGAGGAAACTGAGGACCAGAAGGGGCCCAGGACACCCTTGGGTTGCTGGTGAGGAGGGGCAAGTTTAGACTGCCCCTAGGAGGAACTCAGTAGGAGTGCAGGTCCTGGAGAGGAAGTCTGCCATGGGGTAGCTTTCTATCATTAGTTTGGTTTTTTGTTTTTTCCTTTTAATAAATTTTCATTGACATCTTTTGTTTTCACATTTTCTACAGTTCCTCCCGTATCTTTCTCCTCCTTCCCTCCTCCCCAGAGCCATCCCATATGATAAAATTTTTTAAGGAAAAAGAGAAAAAACAGTTCATAAAATTAATCAATAAGGGGCAGCTAGGTGGCACAGTCAACAGAGCACCGGCCCTGAAGTCAGGAGGACCTGAGTTCAAATCCAGCCTCAGACACATAACACTTACTAGCTGCATGACCCTGGGCAAGTCATTTAGCCCCATTGCCTAGCTAAAAAAAAAAAAGAAAAAGAAAAAGAAAGGAAAAAAATTAATTAATAGATCAAAAATGTCTGATAACGTATACAACGTTCTACACCTGTAGACCTCCCACCTCAGCAAAGGAACGGAGGGATGAGTCTTCTCACATCTCCTCCTTGGGGCCAAGTTTATTCTGTGGCATTGTTCAAAATTCACCTTCAATCACTTTGTAGTTTTTGTTTTTTTCTGTTTTCGTTGTTGTGTATACCATTTTCCTGGTGGCAAAGTGAACAGAGTGCCAAGTCAGGATGATTCGTCTTCCTGAGCCCAAACCTGGCCTCAGATACTTCCTAGCTATGTGACCTTGGGCAAGTCGCTTAACCCTGTTTGCCTCAGTTTCCTCATCTGTAAAATGAGTGGAGAAGGAAATGGCAAACTGCTCCAGGATCTCCGCCAAGAAAATCCCAAATGAAATCACGAAGAGTCAGACAGGACTGAACAACAGACTGTTGTCCTGGTTCTGCTTACTTCACTTAGCAGCAGTTGATGTAAATCTGTCCACACTTCTCTATAGCCATCGTATTCATTGCTTCTGATAGAGCCATCACATTCCATCCCCTCCATGTGCCACGGTTTGGTTTGCTATTCCTCAGTGGATGGGCATTTATTTGGGTTGCTCCCTACCTTAACTTGTGAGTCACGCTAACCTGGCCCTATATCCGGTTGTTCCTGCAATGTTGAAGGAAGGTCAGTAAGGCTGACAGCCACCCGCTAAATTTGGTGCCCTGGCCCAAGACCTGGCCACTGCATCCTCATTATGGATCTGCTCCTCAGCCAGAAGGATGAGCTGGTCATCTTGTGACAGTTATTGGTGTACTGCAACAGCAGAATTTAGAGGCCCTGGAAGGATAGGGGCACTTGCCATCTCACACTAAGAAACCCCAATAGCTGAGCTCTCACAGACCATGCTCAGTTCTGGGGGAGTCTGGCTCTCTCATATTCTCTGACTCTAGCCTTTGAATCAGTGGAAGGGCTGCACCTGAGGACCTAGAGGGCCACGTGGGGCCTCAAGACCACAGATTCCCCACCTCTGCTTTACACTCTACCCCAGAGCCCAAGGACCAAACCACTTCAAACTAAAGTCTAACTCAAGTTTAGGGTCTCCTCAAAGAGAAGTAGAAAGGCATTCAGTGCACAATGTAGATTAGGTATAGGACAGCTATTTATTTCCTCCACACAAAAAAACCAATTAAAATACCAAAGACTCGTAGTATATTAACACAGTCTTACAATATCGCCAGCCCTGGAGTCAGGAGGACCTGAGTTCAAATCTGGCCTCAGACACTTGACACTAGCTGTGTGACTCTAGGCAAGTCACTTAACCCCAACTGCCTCACAAAAAAAAGTCTTACAATATAATGTAATAACCACAATGCTTATTATACGCTCTTGACTGGTGGATAATTCCACGCTGAAACATGGAACATTTAGCAAAACTGCTAAATGGTCATTCCACCTTCGTGGTGGTTCTGCTTTGTCCAAACAGCTCCCTCAAGCTCCATGTCTTCTAGCAAGCCAGGACAGGACTTGGGCCCATTCTTGGGTCTGGAGTCATCCTCTCCCCTGAAAGTGATTGTAATGGCAGCAAGGAGGACATTCTGCAATGAAACTGGGACCAACCGAGGCATGTGGGAAATCCCAAAGTTCCCAAACTCATGAGGTTTCCTTCAAGATCAGAAACACCCCTCTCACGATGGACTTTTGGTCACAGGCTCAGAGGGAGAAACACAAAGCAGAAGGCACAGCCCTTCTGTCCCAGGCTTGGACTCACCTGGGCACAACAAATGTGTGCTGCTGTGTGGGAGCG